CTTACTTCACTTACTTCACATAGATGGCTGCCTGTTTCTCCCTGTGTTTGGTCACAGACTTTAAAGCATAATATCAGTAAGTGTCCATAATGCCTCATATAGTGTTCATGCACACATTTCACCATATTAATCACCACTGTGTTATAGGCTTTAATAAAAGACTTTACTCGATACATTTTTATAATACATAACTATTGTATACAACCAGTTGATTCACTTATTTATCACTTGTGATAAATGTGTCTTTATAGTACAGTAAACCATTGAAATGTAGTCTCAGACAGAGATCCTTTTCTCCTTCTAGGAAGAGATGCCATATGGTGGTGAAGACTTCACGCTGGTTCCTCCCCCATTGTTGATAATTGAGTCATTACCTCCTCCCCTCATCAGCTTGATGGTTTTGTTTACCTTTTATGTAAATGCACCTTCATTGTTTCTGCTTACAATCAGGCTGGTCAGACCAAAAAACACTCATTCCTTTGTCTGGGGAAGGCTGGGCTTATGCAATGCTTGCCAATAACATTTTAAGAACATAATTCTAGCACCTATCCATATTTTTTTGCACACATGCTATACATACATCACGCAAGAATATTAATGATCAGTGAGCTCCTGGTTTTCCAATTATATATTTACCACATACCATCTTTTAGATATCATGGTAACAGTATGTTAGATGTAATGAGTACATCAGGACTGACAAGAGTTGCTGACACAGAATAGTGAACCACCAATGGGCCTCTGTGATACAGCAACCTTGGCACCATCTTTTCCTGGGCTGTGAGCACAGAATCTCACTTGGGAGGTTAGTGGCATTGTTTTCAGAGCCACAGCATTGTCTTCACTGGAGTTGTGGATGCTCATTACTTCTGAAAAATAGACTCCTTGTGACTTGACCAAGATGACACAGCAAGTCACTGCCAGAGTTGGGATTAGAACCTAGGACTTCCTGGCTCTCAGTCTCACATTTTGTCACTAGATAATGGTGCCCCTGGAAGTGATGGCAGCCTCGATTCCCTGTGCAGTATATAGTCTTTCCCTCCCTCTCATATATGTATATAATTTTATGTACATATAAGTCACAGATTTTCTATAGCTCTTTAAAAATCTTAAGTGAGCTCAGAATCAAGAGGTGAAAGGAAACATTCTGTGATATTCAGAGGATTGTAATATTAACAGGAGAGACAATTCCTGGTGTTCTTTAGTATAAAAGTTAATTACAGGCACTCAGGGGTTTAAAGAACTACTGTTATTGGGGGATGGGGTGTGTGCTAGCAACAGGAGGGGATGACTCTAACATTAAACTGGGATTTAGCATGTACAGTAGGTTGTCAAGAGAAAAAAAAAGAACAAAGGAGACTATTATTATCTTTTACTGTTATCTTTTAATTCCCCCGTTTTCCTTTCACGCGATCTCTTTTTCTCAGCCCTCTCTTTTTCAATAATTACAATAATCAACTTGCCAATGATAACAGAAATAATCTCCTGCAAGATAACTAAACAAACCGCTTGTTATCTGTACTGTACTGTGCTCACTTATTGTAGGTATTTCATTTTTTTATGGAAAAGCCAATCAAATTTTAATTAAAAAAGCATGTAGGTTGTCAGCTGAGACACAAAAGGGTGTGGGTTGTGTGTGTGTGCAAAATGGTTCCTAAATCACTTTTGTTTGATAAAGTAGGTGGGAGGGTAAATCCCCCCCAAAACAAAACAACAACATGCCCCCCTCTCCAGATTTCAGAAACTATGCTGCTCCATCAAGGGTACTAATTGCTTGCAGGGCCGGCTCCAGGCACCAGCCCACCAAGCATGTGCTTGGGGCGGCGCCTGGAGGGGGGTGGCGCGGCGGGGCTCTCCGGCCCGAGAGCGGGGCCGCGACTGGGCTCGCCGCCCTCCCCGCGGCACTCCGGCCGCTGGGGAGAGCAGAGAGCTGCGGCGGGCTTGCCGCCCTCCTCCCGGCGCTCCGGCCGCCGGGGAGAGCGGGGA